TGCAGTGATATGCACAGTTGAGAGGACACCTGAGCTCAGCCCATCTATTTCCAGGAGACAGAATCTCAAGGGAGGGGACCAGGATGCTCCAAGGCCAGGGGAAATTGATAGTTTTAGCCTTTATGTTCTACTGAGTGTCCAAAAGCTCACTGAGTGGCCAGAAGGCCATTAAAATAAGCAAAAAAAAAAGTCTGCTGCACTTAAGAACCAGATAGTATAGTCAACAGAGCAGAATCAATGAGCGATTTTTGATTACATGAACCAGATGGAATCACTATATGAAAAGCCCACCGGACCCACAGTTCACTGCAGGCTCTCTTTGGAAAATAGGTGAAGCCACCTCTCCAGTAGAATGGTAGTAACCTGCCACAGAGCAGCAAGGGCGGGAGCAAGGCTGAGCCACGCAGGACTTCCGGACTGTGCACCGAGAGCCCCCAGACCCAGATGTCACACTGAGGCAAAGCTTGCAATGTGCTGGCTAAAAAGCGTGTCTTTGGGTTTAAGCCATGACTGCAACCCAAAAGCTGCATGACCTTGGGTAAGTCACTCATCTCTCACCTTATTGACTCTCAGAGTCTCGTGTGCCCAGCTGTAAATGTAGAATTACATACACTCCACAAAGCTGGAGTGCAGAATCATGACCAAATATCCATCGCACTAGACACCATTCTAGGCACGGAGAAGACAGCAGGGAACAGAGGAAACAAGCTCCCTGCCTTCATGGATCTTGCATTCATGGATCTCTAATGAATAGAGAAAAGCAAACAAAACAGGTGTTGTATATAAGCTATCAGGACAGCTCCTTCCTAGGGCGCGAGTGAAAAGCCACAGGCAGATCCTGGGGAGGACTTCCCAGGCAGAGGATAGCAGGTGTGTAGGCCCTGACACAGAAACACGACTGGCATGTTTAAGGACTAGCAAGGCGGCCAGTGTGGCAGGAGGGAAGTGAGGGAGCAAGAGGGTGGTGGCAAAAAGGATGTCAGAGAGGCAATGAGGCCCAGATCACACTGGGCTGTGCTGTCCAGTACAGTAGCCACCAGCCTGTGTCTGCTAAGCACCGGAAATGTGGCTCTGCGCTGAGACGTGCAGTAAGCATCAAATATACACTGCATTTTGAAGACCTAGCACAACAAAAAGAATGTAAAATATTAATATTTCATTAATAATTATATGGATTACATGTTTCAATGATAATATTTTTAAGTATTAAGTTAAACTATATCATTACAATTGGTTTCATCTGTTTCTTTTTAGCCTTTTAATATGGCCACTAGAAACTTTAAATTACTTATGTGGCCCACACAAAACAGAGCATTATAGGTGACCGTCACAAGTTCAACATTTATGCTCAGCAATACGAGAAGTATGAAGAAATGCACATGAAATGCTTGTCATATTTTTCACCACCTAGTGGGAAAAGTTTATGAATCCAGAAATCCACTCACAAACTGCTCAAATGGAAAGGCAAATAAAGGAATTTCGGGAGCAGACACCAGGTTCAAGAAAGCAAAATAAATAAGAAAATAGTAAAAGTTAAAATAATTGTTAAGAATGTAGTGGTGAAATTTCGTGAAATTAGCAAATAATGGCTGGTGAAATCTGAGACATGACATAAAATAAAAAAAAATCTGACAAACAGATGAAATTGGATCCTAAACTCCAAATGGATCACAGCAATACGGGCAAAAATTGAAACCATGTGAGTACTTCTTTTTCAATGTCCTGGATGTGTTTATATGCTTTCAACTCAGCTTTCCATGATGTCAATGCGGTTAAGGACTTTCTAATGAGTTTTTTGCCATTTGTATATCTTCTTTTGCAAAGTGCACGTTTATAACTTCTGCCCATTTTTTGTACTACTGTCTTTTTATTTCTTATTGGTTTGTAGGTGTTCATACAGTCTAGATAAGAAACCTTTTGTCAGATATGTGCATACAGACAAGTTCTCCCAATCTGTGGCTTGCTTTTTCATTCTTTTATTGATATTTTTAATCAGAATGAAAGCCCTACATTTTAAAGGTTCAGGTTTTAATGTAATCCAAATTTTTCAATCTTTTTCTTTATGTTTAATGCTTTATGACTCTCATTTAAAAAATCTTTGCCTATCCCGAAATTAGGCAGATATGCCCTCTTCAAGAAGCTTGAATTTTTACCTTTCATGCTGATATTGATGATCCATCTCTAATCTGTGTGTGTGTGTGGTGTGGTGTGTGTGTGTGTGTGTGTGTGTGGTTGTGGTGTGTGTTTGTGGTGGTGTTGTGTGTGTGGTGTGTGTGTTGTGTGTTGTGGTGTGTGTGTGTGGTTGTGTGTGTGGGTGTGGTGTGTGTGTGGTGTGGTGTGTGTTGTGTGGGTGTGGGTGTGTGTGTGGTTGTGGTGGTGGTGTGTGTGGTGTGTGGTGTGTGTGTGGTGTGTGTTGTGGTGTGGTGTGGGTTGTGCTGTGTGTGTGTGTGGGTGTGGTGTTGTGTGGTGTGTGTGTGTGGTGTGTGGTGTGTGTGTGTGGTGTGGTGTGTGGTGTGGTGTGGTGTGTGTGTGTGTGTGTGTGGTTGGTTGTGTGGTGTGGTGTGTGTGGTGTGTGTGGTGGGTGTGGTGTGTGTGTGTGTGTTGGTGTGGGGTGTGTGTGTGTGTGTTGGTGTGTGTGGTGTGTGTGTGTGGTGTGTGTTGGTGTGGTGTGTGTGGTGTGTGTGTGTGGTGTGGTGTGGTGTGTGTGGTGTGGTGTGTGTGTGTGTGGTGTGTGTGTGTGTGGTGTGTGTGTGTGTGGTGTGTGTGTGTGGGTGGTGTGTGTGTGTGTGTGTGTGTGGTGTGGTGTGTGTGTGTGTGGTGTGTGTGTGTGGTGGTGTGTGGTGGTGTGTGTGTGGTGTGGTGTTGGTGTGTGGGTGGGGTGTGTGTGGTGTGGTGGTGGTGTGTGTGTGTGTGGTGTGGTGTGTGTGGTGTGGTGTGTGTGTGTGTGTGGTGTGTGTGTGTGGTGTGTGTGGTGTGGGGTGTGTGTGGTGTTGTGTGTGTGTGTTGTGGTGTGTGTGGTGTGTGTGTGGTGGTGGTGTGTGTGTGTGTGTGTGTGTGTGGGTGTGGTGTGTTGTGTGTGGTGTTGTGTTGGTGTGTGTGTGTGGTGTGGGGTGTGTGTGTTGTTGGTGGTTGTGGTGTGGTGTGGTGTGGTGTGTGTTGGTGGTGTGTTGTTGTGGTGTGTGTGTGTGTGGTGTGGTGTGGTGTGTGTGGTGTGGTGTGGTGGTGTGTGGTGTGGTGTGTGTGTGGTGTGGTGTGTGTGTGGTGTGTGTGTGGTGTGTGGTGTGTGGTGGTGTGTGTGTTGTGTTGGTGGTGTGTGTGTGTGTGGTGTGTGTGTGTGGTGTGTGTGTGTGGTGTGTGTGTGTGTGTGTGGTGTGGTGTGAAGTAAGGATTGTGGAGCTTTTTTTCATGTGGATATCCAATGAACCCATCACCATCTAATGAAAAGATAAACCTGGGTTCACTGCATTGCAAGGACACGTCTGTCATAATTCAGTGACAATCCACAAGCAGATGAGTTTGTGGCTCTTTATTCTGTTCCTTTGTCTCCTTGTCTGTCCTTTTGTTAATATTATACCATATTGTATTAATCACTGTGGCTTTAGTATAAGTCTTCAGAATTGGTATATAAATCCTCCACCTTGCTCTCTTCCCTCCAGATTGCCTTGGCCCTTTGCAGTATATACACATTTTGGCATAGCTTTGACAGTTTCTCTCTCTCTCTCTCTCATGCACACACAACTGCTGAGCAATATATTAAAAACTAAAAAAATAAATAAATATCCATGGAGCCATACTGATATCAAGAAATTAGTGAATAAATAAGGAAAAGGGGAGACAGCTCTTCCTTACAGAAGAATCCCAAATAACAAATGGAGAAGCACTGAAAGAAATGGAAAATTGCCGTTAGTACACCATAGTAAAACCTGCTGCAAGCAAAGCTCACTGATGAATGCAAACTTAGTAAGCACCAGTTCAAGGAAAAACAGGGTATGTGCACAGCCTTAGCATATCTCCCCTAAAATATTTATTAATTACTCTAATGCTTTTAACATGTCCTCAAATTCTTGACACATGTCCTTGCACGAGTTGGAGCTTAACCTCCCTTGCTTTGTGTATGGACTGGACTTAGGGACTGGCTTCATGCAAATAGAGTGTAGACAGGGAAAAATAGTAACTTTACAGTGAAGAAACTTGAAGACACCACCATAGCCAACTGACCGAGATGGACACCAGGAGCCCCTGGCATGATGCAATGAGAACAACACAACACAAAGAGAAGGGAACTTCACCTCTGTGCTATTCTTCCCCCAAATCTGATACCCACTTCTTATCATCAGAAAACCTCAGAGAAACCCAAGTTCAGGGACATTCTAAAACATAATTTGCCACTCCTCTTCAAAAGTGTCAAGGCTATGAAAGAAAAAGGACCAATGAGTGTCACAGACTGGGGGGAGTTAGGCGCCGCGGCAGGTGAGCGGCAGTGAAGGAACATCAGTGGATAACGGGCGTCCGCTGGCAGTGGGCAGCGCGCCCCCCCCGCGCTGCGCTCCCGGTGCCGACGCGCACCCGGCCAGGGGCGACGCTGGCGCTCAGTGAGTGAGGGTGTGCAGGGACTCTCTTACAGCTTTGCAACTTTTCTACAAGTCAAAAATTATTCCAAATAGACAACATATTTTCTGGAAGATATGCTTGCCAGTCTCTTCAGAGTGCTGTCAGGTGAATGTGCACAAGCAGGTCCACCTTCTACTTGATACATTTCTGAGTGTGGCTTTTCCCCTTCTTTCAGAAAAGCAGCATTTATAATAAAAAATTTGGACTTTTAACCAGTCCCTCTGGGAACTGAATGTGGAGAAGAGCTGACCCGAGGACAGAGAATGCCTTTGCTTGGGGACAAAGTTACCGAGAAACTCCAGCGTGTTTTGAGTCAGTGAAAGGGCTGTCTGGCCCCCGGGCGTGTCTGGGGCTCAAGGGACGGGGTCCATGCAGAACACGCTACTCACCAGGGCGACCTTCCTCTGCGGTTTCAGCAGCTTCGGCCTGTGGGACGCAGGCGCCACCGGAGCTGTGGAAGTAGGTCAGAGGTGTCACTTGTGGCTACCGGCCGCGTAGTAAGAGCAGCACAGACACACTGTGCAGAGGCGCGGGCCCCTTCCTGGCCCCACGGAAGAGCTCTGGTTTCTAATTTGGTGTCGTGGAGTGCCCCTTGGTGGGGACGGTCCTACCCCGTCTTGGATGTGTCATCATCTCCCCTCAGCAAGGTCAACAAAACAGCTCTGCAGAAAACACTGCCAGCTGCAAAGAGGTCAGGTGTGCAGGTGAGAACCAGGTGCACCTGGTAAAAGCTGAGGCTGTGACCTCCCCTGGGAGAAGCCATCCTATCCACAGACTAGCACCAACAGCAACGACCTTTGATCCTCACAGCAACCCTGTGAGGTCATCAGGGAGGGTCTTATTGTCCCCATTTAACAGAGAAGCAAACCGAGGCTCTTCCTTGAACCTCATCTAACTAGTCTTTGAACCATTTGGGACTTGAACTTGGCATCGAAAGCCAGGCTCTGCCACGTAGCTCTCTACATGCATCTGCATGTTCTGTAAGGTGGAGTATGTCCACCCCAGAGGGTGACACAGACGGCAGCAGGGTGCCTGGCCCAGGGCAGGTGTTCTCTGCCACCTTCCCTCCCAGACCTGCACTCTCCCTGCCTTCCCACCACGCCCCTTTCTCCTGGCAGCACCGCTGGCGTCCCCACAGGGCTCAAAGGGTCCCTGGGGGACGCCCTGTGAAGCCCCACTGAGAGAGAAAATGTATCTTGTCTTGTTACTAAATTTCATCTGGGCAATCCTTGTATTCCCAACTATGTTTCAAATTTGTTGAGGTATGAACATCTCCTGAATGGCCAGTTACTTTAGGAGTTACCTACAGACAGTCTTGGGTCTCTGAGTACTTGGGCAGTTCTTTCCTCCAGAACACCCATCTTCCTCACTCACGTTGCGCTAAATCGTAACTGGAATCACAGGATAACCCTCACTTTATCCTCAAAACAAATTTGAAATAAACTGTATACCCGGTTGACATCTTTAAAAATTCAGAGAGCCTTCTCTCGGTTGAAGGAACCACGAGGACTCCCTTGCGCACCCGGCCAGTGCAGAGCACTGTAGAGTTCAAGGTGAAATGCAGCCCGGGCTCCTGAGGCCGTGCCCTTCCCCTGCTGTGCTGTGGGGGGGGGGGGGGGGCCATGGCGCTGTAGAGTTCAAGGTGAAATGCAGCCCGGGTTCCTGTGGCTGTGCCCCTCCCCTGCTGTGCTGTGCTGGGGGGGGGCATGCGCACACCTCCTCCCACCCAGGGGCTGGGCCAACGGCTGTTATGACCAGAATCTAGGTGGGCCCTCCAGACCACAGGACACTGAACGCCATGTCCTCCGTCTGCCTGTGCCGCTGTCCTGATCCCACACGGAGCCCAGGCCCACCCTGGGTCAGTCACAGCGGTTTCCACACGGGAGACTGCAGGCCGGCTTCCTACCTTTGGCAGGGACTGCAGGAGGGACATCAACCTTCTCCTTCCGCCTCTTGCCTTTCTTGGGCTGCAGTGGGGCCAGGCTGGTCACGCTGGTGACAGTCTCCCCTGAGCTGCGGAAGAACAAGGTCCTGGTTAAGCCAAAGGTAGGTTTATTGCAAAGATCAGAAGAAAAGTCTAGCTTTGCAGTGCTTCCCGTGTACCTGTGTAAGGGAGGGCTGTCTTACAGCCGGGCGGGAACTGCTCTGTGCTTCTCTCCAGGGATGGCTGGAAGTCCGGTACTGACCCTTCACCACGATAAGAAGGGTGGGTTTACAATGTGCTGCTTAGTGTTCAAAACTCCCTGGAGGGACCCGGGCCAACTTGTCTACATTGTTTATGGATGTGTGGGTTGATGGTTTACACCTGGTTTAACTGGTTACAGTCTGGCTTGGCTACATCACCAGTAGAGTATTAAAGATACCGCTAGAAATTTCTGCTTAAGCTCCCCTAAAACCAAGATTCCTCGCACATGTCTTTGCGGTTCATAATCCAAAAGCACAACACCTGCGCAGCTAAGAAAGGACCCTGTAGAGTGGCACCTGGAAGTCTCTGGGATCCCCGCGATGTGGGAGCTTTCTTCTGCTGTGCCCTCCCCTGAAGTGCAGGCGAAGTGAGTCCACCCGAGGAGTGCCGCATCTCCAATTGCCTGACCACCGGGTGTAACCGCTGCGGGCCAGGTTCTTTCTGTGCATTATGCTTGACAACCAAGAGTGACGGGGCTAACGAGCCTTTTCATACTGCAGGTAAGGAAGCTGGGCTTAGAGATGCTGCCTGACCTGTCTAGGTGGCACTGCTGGCAAGCAGCAAACTCGAAGGCTGCAAACCAGGCTGCCGTGATGTGAGCCCTGTTCTCCCTGCTGCACGTGCCGGCGCCCCCGGGCTCCCCGGAATGGCCATCGGCCTCACTTCACACGCTGCCTGCGGGCTCCGGCAACCCAGAGAGGGGCTACCTCCCCAACACGTAAAGAATTTCTTGAAATCCATAAAAATACGGCCCAATCATCAAAATGAAAGAAGGTGGTAAACAAGCATTTTTCACACCGACGGAAAGGCTCGTTCACACGCGAAAACACGCCGATGCTCCCTCCTGGCACAGACATTCAACTTAAAATGTACTCACTCCTTTTTTTCACAAATCGGTATGCCTACAGTCAAATTTGAGGCAAAGTGCTCTTTTGGTAAGGGTGCAGGGATGGAGAATGATATAGTGAAATTTATCAAAATTGCAGAAGCTTAGACTCTTTGCCCTGGCAATCTCACTTTTAGGAATTCATCCTGCGGGTGTCCTTGCATGTGTGTGAAACGAAGCGTGTGGAAGATCGGCCATCACAGTGCCGGCGTAGTCCAGGGTATGAGAACCAGCCCCGTGCACGAGGGGCAGGTTGCGTGGTTACGGTGAAACCACACAGGGGTCCCCGGTGCTGCAAAGAGCAAAGAAGCCATTTCTGTCCTGAAAAGGGCAGATACACTGTTACGTGGAATGCTTGAATGCTGCTAAGTGGGACAATGTGTAAAATGTGCCACTTCTTGTATAAAAGTAGGGGGAAATAATAATATATGTTAGTATTTTCTTGCACATGGGTAAAAAAAAATCTATGAAAATATTCCTAAGAATTTAAAATTAGGGGTTCCCTAAAAGAGGGTGCTGAGGAACTAAACAGATGGGAGATAGGACAGGGAGAACGATTACCAGATATGTTTATAATTCAAGCAAATATATATTATATGTAATAAGAGATAGGTTATTCTAATAATAGTCTTAGATATTTAAAAATAAAGACTGAATCACACATTGTGGGAAAAATTCCAAGAATACAGTTCCCAATGAGCTTCCCCAAAGATGGCTTGTTTTTATTGGGAACAGAAATTCTAACTGGTCATAGCTTTAGAATACAGGGTCAATTGTGTAAATTCACAAATAGCCAAAAGGAATGTGAATTTACAAAAGTTTGACCACTAAGAGCAAACAAGGGATGAGAAACTCTCAGAGTTGCTTAAATATACAGCCACATGTTTGGTTTCATTCTGTAGCTTTTTAAACTCTTAAAATGTTTGTTTCTTCTTTCCGTTATAAAATAGTTCATGTTCCTGTTTTAAAATGGTAATTACAGGCATGGAGACCAAAGAAAATAAGTCTATCATAACCAAAACACAACCTTTGCAAATATTTTCACTTTTTCCTCTTCCTTGCTTTTTTTTTTAAAAGACTTTATTTTTTAAAGTAGTTTTAGGTTCACAGAAAGACTGAGTGGAGGATACAGAGTTTCCATATACCGACACACCACACATGCTCGGCTTCCCATGTTGTCCACCTCCCACGAGAGTGGTCCATTTGTCACAACTGACGACCCTACCTTTCATTATTACTCACAGTCCATAGTTCACAGTAGGGTTCACTCTAAGTGCACTGTCCATGCTATGGGTTTGGACAAATGTATGACATGTATCCATCACGGTAGTATCATACGGCATAGTGTCGCCACCCTAAAATCCTCCATGCTCTGCCTAGTCATCCCTCCCTGCCTGCCCCAAGCCCTGGCAGCCACTGATCCTTTTACTGTCTCCATAGTTTTGCCTTTTCTAGGACTTCACGTAGGAATCACACAGTATGTAGTCTTTTCAGACGGGCTCTTTCTACATAGTGATGTGCATTTGCATTTCCTCCGTGTCTCTTCATGGCTCGACAGCTCATTTCTTTTTAGCACTGAATGGTGTTCCACTGTCTGGATGCACCACAGTTTATCTACCCACTCACCTACTGAGGGACACCTTGGTTGTTTCTGAGTTTCGGCGATTATGAATAAAGATGCCACAGAAATCCGTGTGCAGGTTTTTGTGTGGATATAAATTTTCAACTTTTCCTTGTTTTTTATACATTGTTTTTTAAATCACACTATATTTCAATTTTGCATCCTTTTTACTTAATATAAATTTTTCATATTGTTACATTCTCATACTATACCAGTGAGAAGATAAGCTATGGTTTGCTTAGCCATGTCCTGACATCTAAACATCTAATTTTCCTCCTGGTTTGATATAAAAATAACACTGCTAAACACATTTGTGCATAATGGTTTTTCATTCTTAGACTTTCACTTTTGGGTTGGATTCTTAGAGCTGGAATTACTAGGTCCCTAAGGAGGACCATTTTAAAGGCTATTTAATACCCAGTGTCAAAATGATTTCTGACAGGTTAGTACTATTTTATAGCTATCTGGTCAATGAATGAGAGCACCGATGTTGTCACCCTTTCTAACACCAAGTTTGTCGATTTAAAAAATGATTCATTTAATAAAGAAAAATGTGATCTCCTTTTTACTTGCATTTTTTGATTCGTAGTGAGGACAAACATTTCCCATGTTTGTCTAGAGACTTTCCTCATTTATGGTGTATGGATATCATCTGCTATTATTTATTGATCTTGAATTTTTGTTACAGACTTGCATGCAACTTTTACATCATTCTGACATGTTTATTGTAAATATTTTCCCCAGTTCCCCTTCAAATTTGGTTTTCTGTTCAATGCACAGTTTTTTACTTGTTTTTGCTAAAATCTTTTGATATTTTCCTTTCTTCTATTGCCTCTGAGCTTGGACAGTCTCCCCAACTGCACCTCACACACTGGAGATTCAAATAGTATTTCAACTTCTTCTTCTCTTTACTTGGATTTAATTCTTTAGCTCTTTAACAGAAAATGGAAGTTGCTGAAACATCCTTTATATGAACTTACACCATTCTGCTCAGGGATTTCAGTAAGCTGAAAAAAATCTGCTTTGTCATCACTGTTTTCCTTCAAAACAGTGCAACTGTACTAAACTAAATTTGGCTCCAATTCATATTTCAACAGTCTGATCTGATTTAGACAGCGAGTCACCACAATGAGATACGGTAGACGGTTTTCCCCTCAGAATCTCGCTTCTCCCACTGAGCCAGCAGGGCTGGTCAACATTCTTGACTAAGACAGTCCCCTTAGGATTAACCTATAAGAAATGTCACTCTACATCTTGAGTGGTGACAGGGCCCTGTTTTGTCTGTGACACGACAGAGGGGGCGTTGTTGGAGCCAGGCAAACCAAGAGAGACGGAAAGCGCCGCCGGAAACTCCCGCGGCGAGCAGAGCCGCGCTGGCTGCGGGGCCGCTGCGCTGCGGGGCAGGGCTGTCTTCCTGGCCCCGCACACAGGGGCCGGGCAGGACGCAGCACACAGAGCCCTTGTGGCAGGCATCCGCCCCCAGGAGGCTCCTCCCATGAGGACTCCACGCCTCTGCTCACAACACACGGAGGCTGGACGAGTGAATGGCACTGGGCAAGGGGAGAGCCTGCACTGAAGCTGGCTCCATCTGATGGGAGAGGTGACCCTGGACAAGTCACTACTTCCCTGGGCCTCCACTCCCACTGTAAAATGAGAGACTCATCCTTGCTATCTATCTCACAGGGGTATTATGAGGGTCAGATGAGATAGCAAAGCCTAAATTAGATGGAGCCCCAAATAGCTAAATGGCAACCGACGCTGGTCTCTACCACGTGGGTGCCGTGTGGACACTTCATGGTACTACCATGATATCGCTACTTGGGTGTTTCATGGTGCCATGTTTTAGCCCTGTGGGGAGGGATGCAAGTTGCAACTTAAACCTTGATCAGAAAATCTTTCTGCCCAGGATAACATAACATGCCCTCCCCTTGACAGATGCCTCCACAGACACAGCAGTCTGAACAAGTACCAGTGCAGGCCAGGCCAGGCAGCGGGGGATGGGCTGCAAACCCAAGCAATGGACAGCTGCCCCAGAACACCAGGAGAAGCAGGCAACCTGGATTTTGTAAGCCACTGAACAAATTCTGAGCAACATATTTTGCAGGAACTAAAGTTAACAATATGTTTGTGTCTATCCTGTGCAAAGCACTGTGGAAAGTGCTTGATATCAATAATCTCTGACCCTCTCAGAGGTGAAAACGAGACCTTCCCAAAAGTCACCAGCTGGGCAAGGGATGTGGGATTCAATCCCAGGCAGCCTGCCTCCTGGGCCCTGAAGCAAGGACACTGGGCCCAGCCCAGACAATAGAGAACAAGAACAG